CTCATGCCACCATGTGCTCTAGGAAAAAGAAAAATAGAAAGCCCTACAGAAGGGGGTCCTAAAGGATGAAAACCGCCCCAGTTGTAGAGAATACAAGTAGGTTCCAGAGAAGTGTAATAACAGCTGGAAATAAGGGGAAAAGATGCTCAGTGTCCAGTTATTTTCGGTCTGAAGTATGGGAATTGCTGCCCCAGCAGCTTCTGGGCTCATTCAGCAGTGAACAGGGAGTGGGAGGAAGAAAGTTCATTGTTTGTGCACGTCAGGCTGAGAACTCACTTGCAAGGGAAGAGTGATTTCACATGAAAGGCTGATGGGAGCCCTGGAGATTTGGGTTCCATTCTTGTCCCTCTCACAGCCCCTTGAGCACATCCTTAGGCAAGACACGACCCCGATGCCTTAGGATTCTAGCTTTTATATTTTTCATATGTTTGTAGTCCTGCAATTCTTTAGTGCAGAACTCTAAACTCCTTATCCAGTGCCAGCTGCTGCTTCCCCACTTTGGGCAGACACAGCAATTCCTCTCCAGGCCTGGCAATCAAGGACACCTCACTGCCCCAGGCCTGAGAGATGGAAACAAAAGGGAGCTGGGGGCAGCAAACTTGGAGAAAATGACTTCATTCCCTGCAGCTGGAACTGGGAGATGAACCCCCAATGTGCAAATGGACCAAACCCAGAGAAGTGTGAAACCTGGGACCAGTGGTCCGTTTTGGGTGAAGCCCCTCGGGGAAGGCTCTGTCTGCCCAAAATGTACTGGAGGCCCTTCAATATTGATTTATTCCCTTAATTTTATCTGGCCTCTGTTTCAGGTAGCCCCAAAAAGGCATCAACCTTGCCTGGAAATGGCATTTCCATCCTCTGCATTCCTGCAGCACATCCATAAGGACAGGGAGGGCTCCCAATGGCATCTCCTGCTCTCACCTGGGGCTGCAGCTCAGGGCAGTGCAGAGCATCCCCCTGGACAGCCAGTGCTGCTGGGACATCCCCACAGCATCCTGCATCCCCCAAACAAACCCTGCAGGCAGCACCTCAGCTGAGCCAGCAATGGAAATCCCACAGCAACATTGGTGTGTATAAAGTTATATTTCCTAATTGTGAGTCCTCTTGCTGAACTTATTCTTTTTGATAAAATTCCTCAGTTCCTGGAGGAGCACTCAGGCAGGGGGACTGATCATGAAGAGCCTCAGCAAAGAGCTGAGTTAACCCTGAAGAATATGAATTACCTCCCCCATGTCCCCGTGTCCTCGTTAGGCTCACTGAATATGAATTCTCAATAATACAACAAAAATTGGAAAGAGCATAAATAGATTGGATGTCACATGAGGCTGAGCACCAGAAGAGTTGCACTATTAATCTGATTCCACAAAAATGTGAATTTGGACCTGACACCCCACATCCATCGGTCAAAAGCAGCAACCATTCATCACTGTAAGAAATACAAGTTCAAATACAGGCACAACTCCCTGGCAAAGTGTTTATTCTGTGCTTAAAATGGGTATTGGCACTAAAAACCAGCTATTTCAAGAAATACACACAAAGGTATGAAACACACAGACAGATAGCAGGATCTTCAGGATCAATGCACAACATAGGAAATACAGAAACACAGCACATTTATCCAGGAAGAGTCTTCCTGCATCAACTCAATGTTTTTAACAAAAATACTGCCTAAAGAGAAGAATAAATATAATAAAATATAGTTTAAATATAATAAAATTAATCCTGACCTCATCTTCTACTAATTACCCTTGTTTTCTCCTATCTTGTGGTCTAAAAATTTAATTGAACATTATAACTTAATTTATTCCTATTTGAAAAGACATTTTAAGCCTCTTAACCTGAGTGCCAAAAGGCACTAAAAATATCCTTCAAACTTTAGGAAGGGATGACTTTGTAAATATGAAATGTTTTATATTACGTTCTGTCGCAAAGCTCATCTAAATCTAGATAGAAGGACCATATTTCAAGACTTAAAGAAGAGTATAATTCCATTTTTAAGGACAGAAAATACAGGTCCATATTTTCCTGTCTCACACATCCAGGTGTGTGTGAATCTGTACCATGTTGAATGCAGTTTTCCCATAGGGCTGATTTTTCACTGCATGGTGCATGTTCATAAGCACATTTCAAATCACAAATAAAATAAAAATAATAAAAAAATCCCTTTATTGGAACTCTACTCAAACATTGTCAACAAGCTCTGGGGTCATTTAATGCAATGTGTACATACAACTAAAGAGCATTATTTGCCTTTTAGAGTAAAAGCATTCTAAGAGGATTCCTGAGCTTTCAGTTACACAATAGATTTAATGACCTGTCTGTCTATAGGATGTGTTATGAAATTGCAGATTTCACTGCAAATGAACTCCAAGGAAACACAGGAGAAGACAAACAGCTGAAGGGAGCTGCTGCTTTATAGATTTACTTCTGTTGTTATTTTTACCTATTTGAATTATACAAAGTGAAACCAAATGTTTTGGAAAATTTTAAACTCTGCAAAAACACAGTAATGTTACCTTTGTGTTCTAGTTTTGAATGAGTTTTGGAAAACCTGAAAAACCTCTATAAACCTTATATTTCAGGTCTCCACAGGGCTCTGCTGGCCTACATGTTTGTTCAAATGCATGACATTTAACTGGCACTTTGCTGTTTTTATTGCAAAAACTTCAAACCATTTTTTGGTAACTCAACTTATTGAAGATGCAAGATGCAGATCTGAGCCCTGAGGCACCTTTTTGCAGAGGCTTTGTTGTCAGGTTGCTTTTGGTTTGGGTTTTGTTGGGGACAGGTTGGGTTTTTTTTGTAAATACCATATATTGTAAATATCATATAATCACCAGCTTTTAAATATTAGCAATAACTGCTTCATTTTCCCTTTAGTACTGTTTAGAAATTATAAATTAAACCAATATATCCCACAGGAGTCCTAAAATCTCACAAAAGCCTCCTTCAGAAGCCCATGTTCACAAGAGAGTGACACAGAAATCCAAAGTAGAAGTGAATTTACTGAAACCCTTTATGAGTCAATTTCTCAATGCTAAAGCTAAGAAAGTGGTGTAGAGGAATTTTAAAACTCTAGTCTGTGTTTTAGGTTTGAAATATCCTCTTGAAAGAAGGGGTCAGGGGAAAAAAGAGAGAATTTTTGTGACCAAAGAGTGGCTGCATCTGCTGAAAAATGGAGAAAGAGCAGAGATTTCCTTTCCCTCTTTCTCCTTCACTCCCAGTCCTTGTCACCTGTGTGGGTGTCCACGCATGCAGTGTATCCAATCTCACTGAAATACAGAAAAAATCTAAAATGATGGAGAGAGAATCTGGGGTTTTATTTATTGTGTTTTCAAAGCCCAGGGAAAATACAGCTGCGGGGAAACACTTGGATAAATTCCCAATACCACACCTGGGAGGATTCCTAGAGCACTATGATGAGCAGTTCAGTCAGAAGCTGAAAATTAATTTAACAACAAAATGTCTTGTAAAGAGCAGAGCAAAAAGCTCAACCATTCCTCTTTGCTCCCACCAATTCCACATCCCAACTCCTGCCCTAAACCCCAGGAACTCAACCACACTTCCCAGAACTCCCAGGTTTTACATCTCTGATACATCATACACAGAGAAAAAAAACACAGATGCAAAAATTTCTATTAATGAGAGATTATCTCCATAAATACAGTGTTGAAAGAACAGAAAAGCTGGAGTTTTGTCAGCCTGGACAAGTAAAATAATTTGATTTCTGTGCTGAGGTTTTTATTAATGGGGAAAACCCACAAGAGCCTCTTATTGCAAGGTTTAATGCTATTTCAGATGCAATTTATTATGGGATTCTTTATTATTAGTTTTTCTGTAATTCAAGATGAGACATTTTCTGGAATGTTTCAGTACCCAGCTTTGATACCATCTTTGCTTTCAGTGCTGGGTTGTTTAATGTTTGTTTCATCCTGATTTTAAGTGATTGTGTAGGAATGTGTCGTTTTATTAACTTCATATGTACTTTGGATTAGGGAAAAAAAGAGAGGAACATTATATTGCATTCTGGGAATTTAGATAATACTAAGAAAAAGAAAATTTTCAGTTTAAATATAATAGTAATTTAACTTGTTATTAAAAATTGCTGTGAGGGACAGTTGCACTTGAAATTGTTTCAGAAAGCAAGGCTCCCAATTGCTCTGTCTAAATCAACCAGTCATGAGATGTAAAAACCTGTGAAAATTCCCACTTTGGTGTCCAAGCAGGTCTCCCCTCAGCAGAGCATCCCCAGCATGTCCCAGGAGGAATTTGTGCAGCTTATCATGAATTAGAGCCACTGAGTGAATAAAATGCTTCTTTTATGTATTCACAATGGTCAGGAAATTTATTCTGTAAAGAATCTTTACAAAAAATTAAAAATTAGAGTTTTATTTCTGCAGCAAAATTCAGGAGAAAAGCATGAATGGGGACACACACAGAGAGAAAACCCAATTCAACCACAAAAAAATCCTCCATGTTTTGAAGAATCACCACTTGAAAAGGGCTCCCCCACAACCCTAAGCTTTTTAGCTCATTATTCCAATGATATGATGGCTATTGTCTACCTCATTTTAGAAATAGATGTGCATGTATATAAGAAGGAAATGAGAAAGCTGTTTTTTAAAGAAGGTGCAACAATGAATTATGGCACTGACCTGCAAACCATTAATATTTTTTTCCAATTGATTGGAACTTACAAAGCTAAAAATACATTAATGAAAATACCAGAAACTTAAAAACCAAGAGAAAAGGGTAACTTTCAGCAGGTTTGCAATACAGCAACATTAGCTAAATTAACAGATTAAAGTTGAGTTAGTCACAATATGCAGCCCAAAAAAGCCAAGCCCACAGCCCAGCAGGTTACCTCACACTGCTGTAAAAGAAAGGAAAAGAGGAAAAAATAACAAAAAAATCCCATTCATGAAGTTATAGCTCTGAGGTATTTCTCTTTCAAAACAAACTTTGCAATCAGTGATTAATCAGCTGCAAGGCAGAGAACTCACCGAACTAGAGCCCCACCTAAGATGTACCAGTGTAGGCATCAGCCTTGCTGGGATGGTAAAAAAGTGACACATGGGGGACAGGAAAAACACCAGAATATTGGCAATCTCCTGCCAGGCTGCACCTTCCATGGCAGTGTGACTGAGGAACTCAGAGGGTCCTCCTTCCCCTTGTGGACACTAAATGCAAGCAGGGAACAGAGGCTGTGTGAAACTGAGTCACACAGACTTCCCACTCTGGCCTGGGAAAGCAGGAGAAAGAATCCAAACAGTCCTTGGTGAAGGACAACAATCTGCAGGTGTTGTTCAGTCAAGGGGTGATGTTCCACTTAACCAACGTGCTGATGTGTTGCTTTAATGACCAGTGAGAGTTTTACCTCTCAGACCTTCTCAAACATGTGTATACAAGGAGATTAAGAGAAATAAACTTTGCTCTCTTGGACAATGCAGCCAAGGGAGTCAGTGTTGTACTCCTCGCGGTTCCTGATACAGTGCGACCTTCCCTCACGACATCTGCCTGCTCCAGGGATTCTGGGCTCAGAATTCCTGGCAGAGAAAGGCATTTCCAAGCTCCCCCAGCACACCCCAGAGCTCCAGCTTCACGCTGCCCTCTGCACCAAGGTGCAAGCTGTGTTTTCCCCCAGGGCTCCCAGAGGTGCTGTGAATGCCCCCAGCCCTGAGTGCGGGTGATGGACGGGGCTGTCACAGCGTCTGGCACATCCCAGCCCTGACAGGAGACAGAAATGCCTCGCAGGCTTTGCACAATGGCCCTGACACTGACAACTCCTACAGGCACTAATTTGGTATTAATTCAGTATTAAACCTCAGCTGGTCCCACACTACAGGAAAGGTCGTATTTCACAAACAACGTTGTTCTAAATGAGAATGGGGCTGGGGACGCTGAGGATTCCCCTCTGCCCAGCTACCACCCTGCAAACAACAACAGCAGAGGCAAAAGGATGTGCCAGCCCCAAGAGGGACAAGTCCCAGAGCTTCAGCGTTTCACAGCAGTGAGTTTGAGGCAGGAGGAATAATTGAGACACTCTGGTGTCACAGAGCCAGCACATCACCCTTCCCGTCGGGGAGGGACAGAATTAAACACTTGTTAAGCACAGAGAGGTCAAACAGAAATGTGGATTTTAAGACTGCCGTCATCCCTGACCTTTGCTGCTCGTACAAGACTTCAGGAAAGAACATTTCCTATACAATATTGATAAGGCAGGCCTTACAAAAGCTTAGAAAAGCTCAGTAATACAAGGCCAATTATTCAGGATAAGTCCAGTCAGGAGAGGGGAGGTTTTTCTGAGAACTGCAGCAGGTCTGGGAGGCTCCTGTGTGTTCTGCAATACAGTGGGGTCAGCTGCTCCCACATCACCTCACTGCAGGGAAAAACAGAGCACAAAATGGCAATATTGCTAATAGGCAAATAGGGGAAACAAAACTCACAGACCCTCGGAATGCCAGAGCTGTACAGCAAATACACACAAAAAAGCACTTTGTGTCAGGGAAATCACTCACACTGTCCAGTTGTCCAGCCTGGAAGCTTTTGCAGGAGAGCCTTGGCTGTCATTATCTGTGTCAGCATGCCAAGAAAGAACTTGCTATTTTCCACCACTTTTGGAGGTTAGCCTTTTTTTCTGAAGAGTGTTCCACTAATTGTTTTTTTCTCACTTGCATCAGCAGGAGACCCAATTATAGCTCCAGCTTCAATTTGCAATAACCTCCTTTTTAAATAGCGTGAGTCACCTTTTCACCTTTTATTACAGAGATGGAACCAAGGTCTGATAGAGAAATAGTGCAAATCCTAAACTCCATTTCTCAGAAATGGGATTTTATAATTGTTGGTCACTTCCCTTGGTTTAATTTAAATCACATTTACATCCTAGTAGGACTTAGAAGAAATTGTTTTGCAGTTTTCCATATGCAGCTCTAGTCTTCTAACACCGCATAAACCGTCTCCTATTTTTACTGATTAAAATATTATTTTTTGCCCTCTCCAGAAGCCCCAGCATCACTGAATCTACTGTCACTCACCAGAAGTAATTTTGTTTAATAACTAAGTAGGCCATGTATCCTTGGGCATGCAGTCTGCTAACCTTGAGAGCTGCTGTGGGAGGGTGACTGATGAGCGCTGGGCGCACAGAGAGAAACAAACTGCAGCAGCCTTTAGTTGGAGGAAACTCCCAAGACACTATTAATTACAATTTCAAAAAGATAGCTCTCACTTCCACCTGGCAAATGCAATTATGCAATAGAAGGGGAGTTCAGCAAAACAAACAACAGCTCAGACCAGCAGCTGACAGAGCAACGTGCACTGTCTGCTTTAAGTTTGTTGGAGCAGCGTAGCAGTAAATCAAAGGCAAGAGCTCATTCATTTTGGGAACCTGAGCCACCAGGACACAGAGCAGTCTGCACTTTGAAAACAACCTTATAATCAGTTAAAAGCATAAAAAACACTTTAAAATAGGTTCTGTAAGTTGAATCTTTGAGAGAGCCATTAACAACAATTGATATATTGAAAAACGAGTTTTGCAAGCTTTGAAGGAAAATGAGCCTCACTGAACCCCACTCAGCACAAACTCTTTCACTCAGGATAAACCCCTCCACTGTACTCACCAGAGAAAAGCAAGGCTGACAAGGGATAGGACTGAAATTTTAGGCTGACAGCGGGACTAGCAGGACAGCAGCCTTGCTTTAAAGGGGGTAAAGCACTGAAATAATGGCAGAGGCTAAAAGGTCAGTGCTAGGGTTTGCACCTCTTCACTGAGGTAAAACAAGTTCTCACTTGCAGAGAATTTGGCTCTAAAATGGAAGACTCATTTCCAAAAGCTGTGCATATATTTAAACAAGTGATAAAAAACACCATAATGGTTCATCCCTGGGGTTTAGATTTTCTTACAAAAGGCAAAAGTGACCCTAGAGCTTCCCTCTCGTGACTGGGTCTGACTGAATAATCTTGATTCTCCTCCCAGCAGAGACTGCTCACAGAGCCAGAGCTGTCAGCCAAGCTCTGCTTTCCCCTCTCACGGTCTGGGACCATTCCTGCATCCAGGAACCCTCTTGTTCCCCAGCCCTGGGGCTGCTGGCAGCACCTCCTGCTGCCCTCACCCCAGGCCATCAAACCCTGCCTGCTGCAGCTCTCAGCATCACCCCTGGAGCAGGAGGACAGGGCATCCTCTGATATTTGCCTACTCACAACCACAGCTTAATTTCAGCAGTAAAAGAGTAGCTATGAGTAAGTACTTTAAAGTATTTTAGAAGAGGAAAAACAGTACTTTAAACTAAAAATACAAACCCCAAAGTAAAATCCACAGCAGGAACGTAAGAGACACACACAAGCCAAGGATCCAAGAATCCACCCATGCTTCCTGGTTTAGCAGGAAAGAAAAGAAGCATCTGTCCTGCCACACTTACACTCCAAATTAGTAGTGACAGGTCTGTAGGAGGGCAAATAATCCTGCAGACTGTGCCATCAAAGCACTTCATCATCAGAGCCACAGCAGGAGTACAACCCATACACACTGAGACTGCTCCAAAGAAAGATGGGTTTAACTCTATTTATTTTAACATCCTTATAATAGTGTAAAGCATTTCAGTGTTGAGAAAGGCAGTGGAGGAAGGGTGTGCTTTCCCAAGCACCCTACTCTCTTAACACCTGCCTGGGTTTCTCCTTCCACTGCAGGCCAGAATAATGCAAAATTCACCAGAGCAAGGTTTTTAAACCTCAGAATTCTCATCACTAACAGGCAGCAGCCAGCAGCAGTTTGCAGGTTCATGGAAACAACAGTTTCAGGCTCCCTGCTGACTCAGGAGCTCTGGGAACCTCCCTTCATCTTCCTCAGGGGCAGCCAAGTACAGAAGCAGCTTTTGATTCAACTGCTCCATTGCACCTGTTTTGCTCTCTTTGAAGAGCTTCATTTGTACATTACATAGAGTTAAATTAATTATTATTGGAAGTATATATTCCTTGTGACTGAAATGCTCGTACTGGCCATGGCACCTGAAAGCTTAGATGAGATTTGAGAGCATGGTATGTAGGAATCAGTTTCTGTGAGTGGTAAACCAGGAGAGATGTCACATTTCAACCTGAAAAACACCCAAATCTCACTTTCACTGTCACTGTCAGTATAACTAATAAATAACACTTAGCAGATGGTGACACAAGGACAGGAGGGCTCAGTTCAGGGAAGCCAATTCACCTGGCGTGGTCACAGTGCCAGGGATCACCAGGAATGGCCACAGGAGCCACCAGTGATCCGAGGTGGCCACAGTCACCAGGAATGTGGTGCCAGGGTGTCCTTTCTTCAGGTCCCTCCTCAGAGACACCAGATCAAGCTGTGATTTTGTTGTTACAGCAAGATGAAATTATTTTAAGAATCAGGACATCTGAGACTGCCATAGGAAACCTGGAGCAGAGGAAAACCTGGTGTGGGTGTGGGGGGAGCAGCTGTGGAGGGGCCTTGCTCCAGCTCAGGAGCACCTTGGAGTGGGTCCTGCATGGCCAGGATGGGAATTTTCCTTTACCCTGCTTCTATTACAAACTCAGACAAAGCTAAAGAAACTGTAACATATGGGGGAGGTTCAATTTTATTTAGGCCAAGCTATCAACCATCAACATCAATTTTACATAAATTGGTGAATCCCTTCCCCTACACTGAACCTGCAGGCTGTGAGAACTGAGCTTCCAGTCAGGGGCACGCTCCAGGTAACACCTGCTCCTCCCTTCAGCCACAGAATCACCCCATAGCTGCCTGTGGATGTGTATTTGGTTACTCACAGGATACACAGCACTGCTGGCAGTCACCAAAACCTCCCTCTTTGCCCAAACCTTGCATCTGTGGAGAAGAGACAGCCTTGTCCTGCAGTGTTGCAGCAGAACAGAGAAACCCCAGCATGAAACTCCAGCACCAGCCCGTCCTCAAAGGCAGCTCCACTGCTCTAACGGGGCTCAGCACACCTGGAGCAAGAGAATTTGGCCATTAGGGAATCACAAACCAGGAGTGACCTTCCCAAGGTAGTGACAGCATTGTGGCACATACAATAAATAGATTAAAAGAGATGGAAAATCTGCTGAGCCTAAGAAAATACTACCTGTGCTGGGGAATGGCTGATAGCTATGGGTGGGCTAGGGAGCCAGGAAATATAGGGGGTTTAGTCTGTGATTAACTTTTGACTTGTAGGAGGAGCAAATTTCCAAGGAATTCCATCCATCAGTTTCCCATGGAGATGCATGAGAACCAACGTGTCTGTGCTGTGTTCCATTCCCAAAGCTCTCGGTGCTGTTCTGTCATTTCAGCTTCCCCTCAGAGAGGGCATTACCTCAGAAGATGTCATCAGGAGACCCTGGGTTGTGCATCGCTCCCCTTTTTCCACTTGAGCAATGTGGGAAGGGATGAGGGTGTGGGTAAAGGCAGAGCTCACACTGAGCGAGGCCGTGTGAGGGCCCTGCTCTGCCCTGCGGCACAGGGGACACTGCTGTCCCCAAACCTCACAGCACCTCCACCCACAGCCCTTCCCAAGCTGCCTCCCAATGAGAGGAACTTGCTGGAAATCCAGAAGGTGCCAGCAGGCCAAGTCCTCCTCAGTTTTATCCTTCCTGGACCCATGGAGCTCCATGACATGTTGTATCCCAGGAGCTGGTGGGGGAAGCTGTCAGTGAGATGCCCCAGGATGTGAGCCCTGTTTAAAGAATGTTCTCCTACAGTCCTTTGGTGTTTTATGTACCCCAGTTACATCATCCTAGCTACATCATTCCTTGTCCCCGAGAGTTATGTCATCCGTATTTTCCACTCCAGTTCTAGAATGTTCCCTGCTTTTGTTTTCCCTCTTGGTTCCCATTCCCGTCACTCCACCCCAAGGCCCTGGTTAGCTAACCAGGCTGGTTATCCCTGGGCTCCACCTCTGCACCCCCCCGTGCCCTCAGTGCTGATGTTCCTCTCCTCCTGCCTGTGGATAACCTCAGTCCTTCCCTTGTTCTGGGTTCTTCGGCCCTGCTTCCCCTCTGTGGGAGATCAGTCAGCTCCACAGGAACACGGTACAAAGAGCCCCTCTCGTCCTCATTCCTCACCCCCAGAGAACACGGCGGTGTGGGAGTGCTTGGAGCTCAGAGCTGGCCCTCCCCACAGGAGAAGCTCTCAGGAAGGTGGTGGCTTTGGCAGCTCCTGCACCACCAGAGTGACATGCCCAGGCCTGACTTCACAGCCTCTCCCAGGGTGTCTGTGTCCCCTCAAAGGCCCGGCACAGCAGAAGTGCCAGCAGGCAGGAGATGCAGGATGCTGCCAGACACACACACACGGCATCTGAACAAAAACCCCGGGCCTGGGAGGTGAAATCCTGCCCATAATGCTGTCATTCTTCAACCCTTTATCTCAGATTTAGCAGGTGTGCAGTGCTCTGTTTGGGTTTTTTAACAGGTGGAAAATGTCATCTTGTCATGAGAGATTGGATGTAAAGCACTGCCATGCTCTGTTGCAGTGCTTTCTGTATCTCAATGCTCATCACCAGGAGATGGAATAGCTTGTTCCAGTCCCTGACCCAGAATTTAGTTTGTCAGCTCCTGGCAAACACATTTCAGTCTTGCACCCCACAAATATGTAAAAATATCAAACACATTGTATTGTTAATAACATGGTTGGAAGTCATTCACGGCAATTAAGCTTGCATTACAATGAAATCTCTTTAACCACAAAGATGGTCCTGCTATGCCATTTTATTTCTGCACAGTGAAAGGTACAATTAAATGTATGCAAGAAAATGTACTGAGCTTTACTCACTTAAGTGCTTTAAAACATTGTCTTTTGGCATAAAAGTACATGATATAAAGATTTCACACCAAAAATTTATTTCTTTTCTTTGTTTATATTTCTCAACCAATATGCCCAGTTTCTTTGCAGTACTAGATATTTTATCTAACAGCTACTTTGAGCTTTGGCAGGAAATCTTTTGCTGTGATTTCCCAGTTGAGAGAATCAATGAAATGATAGTAGTCTCAGAATAGTATCTCTGAATTCAGCCCTTCAGCCAGCAATGCTGCTTTGCAAGTACTATTTACCATTCTGTTGGTTTTGTCTTCCTAATCTACTTTCTTCCCTTAATGTATCATTGCCCACGCTAGCAAAAAGCAGGAAATTGTAAAAACCTTAGCCAGCAAGATTTGGAGACCAAAACTTCTTTTCAAATGATAAAATAATGGAGACTATTCATTTCACCAGACCTAATCCCAAGCCTTTCTTTCCAATAGTTCTGGTACCAGAGATGTAGAAACTTCTGTCTAATTCATACTTGAGAAGGAGAAGAAATTACTTTATGAGGAGCTAAACACATTTTTTTTGTGTGTGCTGAAATTCCAGAGCACTTTAACCCCATGTCCTAGAAAGATGAATTCAAACTAAAATAAGCAGAGACAAGGAATCCTGGAATGATGGAGGAGCTATTGCAGAACATCAAACCTTTGGCATACTTGGTGTCAGCAAATCAAAGGCTGGGTGTTATTTATAGAGGGCAATCATATCCAACCAGAAGAGTGAACCTAACACTGCAAAATCTCTGCTTGAAAGGGGAAACTGAGGCAGAGGTGGGAGGAGCTAAGATGTTGTGGTTACTAGCTATTGCCACCGAACAGATTTAGTGTCCCACAAGGCTCCCCGTGGCTCAGTGTCCCTTGCCACGACAGGGAGGGCTCAGGGGTCTCTGGGGGTGATGAGGGGACTGAGCCAGGGTGCAGCTTCCAGGGGAGCCCCCTGTGCAGGACAGCAGCCAACAGATGTCCCACCACTCCCAGCAAAATGTTCTTTTTCTTCCTAAACTGCATTAATTACACAGCCTTGCCTTGCAGGGAGCTGTAGTTAGTCATTAAAGCCCACTGGCAGGAATCATAAGGTTGGATTATCTCTTAACTCTTTCAAAGCTTTATTGTAGTTTTTTTCCTAATCTTCTGCACCACTGGAAGGGTTCTTTTGCTGCCTCTCACAAGGGAGCTGGCAGATAACTGATGGATTATTGAAATCACTTTCTGAAAACTCTCCAGGCACCTCTCTGCATCTGGAGATGTCTAAATGCATTTAAAAGCTGGCCCAAAAGTCCTCCAAGCACGGCTAGAGAAGCGCTACAGAGGTGCAAAGTATTATCTCAGTTATTAAGGATACATGTTTCCTTGGATACAAGTCAAGTTAAATCATGCTTTTTTTGATATATGCTAATAGGCTTCTGCAAATTAATTAATGAAGGAATTGGGCATACTAAGAGAATTACTTGAACAATGCCTGACTGAAGTTTTTTAACTTTGTTCGCTTGAGAAATTGAAAGTAGGCAGGAAATGTCAGGTTGTGTGGCTGAGGCTTTCTACAGCATCCCACAATAAAATAAAAAAAATTTAAAAAAAAGAAAAAAAAAGGAAAAGGACCTTTTTTTTTTCATGTGCAGAAACAAGGAGAGTCACCAGAGAGCTTTTTTTCAGTATTCCATGTTATTCCTGTTGCTAAGGAAACTTTCCTTCATCTGTGCTCAGTAAAGCATCCTAAAAATTCCTGCACAGAAGGATGGCATTACAGATCAGTGTCAGAAAACTCAGCTGCCAATTAAGCACAAAACTGGTCACTGGGAAGTTTTAACAGGACAGTTCCTGATTTCTCTTGTAAAGCTCAGGATGATTTGCAGCAGGGAGGAGCCTGGAGGAACCACAGCCAGTCTGTGTCATTAATCTTGTCCCTACAGGATTTCCCTCAAGAAGCAAAATAGGAGGAAACAAGAATCAAACCAAACGTTTGGCTTGGGTTTTGTTTGCACTGTCCCTCCAGCTCAGATCCTGTTCACTCTTCATTGTGCTCTCTAACAGACAAAATGAAAATCTCCCTCACAGAGAGACCAGGAGATGTTCTTTACCATCATCTCTATTTAAGAGAGAGAGAGCTTAAACAAATAGAGAAAGAGCTGCAAAAATGAAGAGAAGCTTGAGATCTCTGTAGGCTGCAGTGGTTTTCACTCTGTTGCCTGTGTTCATTTCCAGTCCTTGGCTTTCAACACCACTGCTCACAAAACAAGGAGCCACTGCTGAGGAAGGGAGCAGAGGTGCCTCCCATGGCAATAACAGGTGAGAATGTGTCATCCAACTCATCTTGTGGAATTTCTTCTTCTTTCCCAGCAAAGATTCATTATCCAAGCCTGGAAATCCAGGCCAGCAGCTGCCCTTGTTATGGCCTTGAATACAAATCAAATACTACAAAAATACTGCGTGTCCTGGGGCACTTTGGAATCCTGGTTTTGTCACATTCCATGACACAGTAAGGAAAGGGAATTTGGTGTTCCTCTCCTCCTCCATGCCAAAGGTCTGCAGTGTCTGGCTGACCTCCTTTCTCTAGCAAAATTTCATCATGCAGTAGGGAAGAGTGCAAGAAATGGGGCTCACACGCTTCCCAGAGAAGCAGCTCCAGCAATCCCTGGCTGGGGACAATTAAACCTATTGCTTTACCCTGTCCATTCTGTCTCACAGTCACTAATGGTGTCTTATGCTCTGTGCTTTTGTCTAATTGCTTTTGGAGGCCATTTGCACTTTTGCCCAGTGTTAAAATATGCATATTTTTGGTCCCAGTAGTGCTGCTCTCATAGAAAATGTAACACAGGAGTCAGTAGACCAAGCTTGCATTTGATCTACGCTTCTGTGTGGGCAAAATGAGGAAAAGGGAAGACCGTGAGAGCCCTTCTCTCTCCTGAAGGGAGCAGTGGCTGCCTTACACTACAGTGGCACTTGCAATACTCACCTGGGAAATGCTGTGTCCTGAAAAGATGAACCCTGTATGCTTTACCCTCCTGGCCCCACTCCATGCTCTGCTCTGTGAGAATTTCTGGGCACACTCCACCATCTTTGGCAGAAAATCTATTCCCAGAACAAGTTTTTGTTTTCCTTTGAAGCCATTTATTTTGGCATGCAATTCCCACCTGTTCCAGACCAGAGATGGATGCGGGTTCCAGCAGAGATGGAGCTCCCTTCTCCCCTGACTCACCTGTGTGTCCCAGCAGCTTTCATCCCAGGAGATGGACAACTCCAGTGGATGCAGAACCCTCTTCCACCTTCAGATCCAGATCCAGACTCACCTGATAGAAGTTAGGAAAAATGCTTGCTTTCCTGTGCCATACTTCCAGTGGCATATTTCCTGAAGGGGTTTTTCTCCTTCAGATAAGGTATTTCAATGTTATTTTCTTATTAAAATCACTTTGTTTTCCAGAATTCCAGGATTTTTATGATGTAGAGCTACTAAGAACAGCTTCTCTTTCCTTACATATGTGGCTTCCAGCCATGTGATATAGAGCTACTGAAATATAAATATATATATATATAATATATATATATTACATATATAATATATATATTATATATCTATATCTATATCTATATCTATATCTATATCTATATCTATATCTATATCTATATCTATATCTATATCTGGATATTGCATTTGCATCAGCATTTATTCCTCATCTTACAGTTAAATCACCAAGTCCAGTCCACTCCCAGGCAAGTTCCCTCTTCTGATTATTACAATCTTTTCTGGTTTTCCTCAACAGTACACAGCCTTCAGCAGGAACTCTGTGATATGATTTCAAGCCATAAAATCTCCTTTCTTATTCCTTCTTCATCTCCTGGATGAAAATGCACAAAACAATGTGAACATCTGCAGGACCTGTGTGTGACCTTCCATCTGACGTTCCTCCTCTGGAACCTGCCCTAACAAGCCTTGTGCTGTGATGGATGAAACTGAAAGCAATTCCCTCTTCCCAACAAATTGAGACCTTCAAAGGGAACCCATCTCTTCTCAGATGGGCCAGGTTTTGCTCACAAGACCTTGGCTTTCATCTTGGCTAGCAGTAATTCTGAAGGAAGGAAAACACCAAAGCACACTTTCTGCTGCTTCTTTGATGTCTCATCAAAGCAAACTAAAAGAATACAAATGCAATATCATTAAAATACGTTACTAATCCTGCAGGAATGGGGAGGCTTGAGCATTAGAAATTTGCTCAATGCTACTTCCAACTATGGTTTGTAATCTATGGAGGAAACTGTCATGAGTAATGGCTTGCAATGTGACAATGAATTTTAAACTTTCTCCAGTGAAATATGGATGTCAATTTTTTTACACCATTTGGAGATAACTTGAAGTGGCAGTTGCTGGTTAGAGAAAAAAAAGCCAAATGGCATGGTTTAGATACATGGAAAATGGAAGATAATGATGCATGAAATAAATGGAAAAGAATTGAGGAAAACACTGAAAGAGGAAGTGCAGAACAGTTTGACCTACCAGTGAGCCTGGTTCTATTTCTATGGAAATGAGCTCATTACTGCTAATTTTTTTTTTTTTTAAGCTCCTAGTTGATTCGTGAAGTGCTGTTTGAATTCTGATAAGGGCTTCATGAATCACTGAAAAAAAAACATTTGAACAAAATATCCAGAGTCAAATGATCACCAAGTCCCATAGATTAATCAGCTGTCTGAACACTTTATATAGCAGAGCAGCACTAGGACAGCCAGCTTTTCCCCTGGTATCATCAGTCTATAATGCTCCATTCTGCAAAGAAAAGGAATCGTGCTTCTGAAATCAAATTCTGGATGGTTACTCCATCCAAGAGCCTGTATTAAAAAGGAAAGACATCTTTTATTTTTTTTTCCCTGCTATTTCCATGTTTGTTCAGTTTTAGAAATCAGCATCCCAAGCATTGGCCCTGGAATTGCCTCTCATCCCTGAGAAACAGGAGCATCTGTGGCATTCATGGTGCTGCCACATGTGGCACCCATCAGTGCTGCCTGGGACACCCCAAGTGTGCAGGGGAAGTGCTCCAGGGCCAGAGCTAAGCTTCCTCTTAAACCTCCAGGATGGTGAAATAAAATTCCAATGAAGCAGTGGATTTAAATATCATGTAAGCTTTATTATTTTATAAAGCCATCAATTTTTAAGGCTGTCTTTGGACATGAGCAGAGTCTGCCTGTGACAGCTGGATTTTTAACTGAACAGCACTGATCGACTTTATGTGTTATACATACAGCTTCTACACCCCTTATTAATTCTCCAAACACTTCAAAAAGAATGCCCTTGGCAAGTTCTATGACTCTCTGTTAATTTGCCTTGTACTAATTTTCAAGGTGTGCAGAGGTCACTACTTCCTCCAGCTTGCAGCTTGTAACAATGCACATGGGAGAAATTACACCAAACAAAGCTCAGCCTCCTGCCTCAGTGCTTTGTGCCTCTTGTCCAAAGCCTTTCCCAGTTTGGAAGTGACTCCATAGACTGTACTTGAGCCATGACAAAGTGAGCAGCAACAAGCAGTGCTCACTGGAGGTGCACAGGGCAGGGCACCCCACGGATCCCTTCAACACTCCCAGGGCTCAGCTGGGTTCAGCTCCACTCACACTGGAAGTGCAATCACCAGGGCCAGGTTGGACACTGGGGCTGGAGCAGCCTGGGACAGTGCAAGGTGTCCCTGCCCATGGCAGGGGTGGGAATGGATGGGCTTTAAGGCCCCTTCCAACCCAAACTGTTCTGGATTCTATGACTTATTTGGATTGGTTTTTTAAAATATTATCTCAAGATGGATGGACATACAGCCCCACCAATCTGCAGTTATGACAGATCTTAGATAATTTTCATTTTAAGACCAACAGGAAGTTGAGAGATAAATTTCATTATCATTTACATGAGGAACTACAGCAGTGCAAATAAGAAATAATTTGGCATATATGACTCTACAGAATTGGCACAGACTTAAACTGATTTCAATTTTCTAGAATGCAGAATTAATTTGGGAAGAAGATCATAAAGCACTTTGTTATTCAGTTGATAGTATTATAAATAATGCAAGGACAGTATTTCCATTCTGGATGTTCCCATACATTTGGACAGGACTATGTGAGACTCCAAAGCTGCTTTGTGAAAACACTTCCAAGGCTTTCTTTTTGCATCTCACATTTCTACACTTCTCAGAGCACCAGGAGCAGAAAGGAATCAGCATTTGGAGAAAAAAAAAGACAGAGGGTTGGTGTGGAACAGGGAAATATCCAAAGCTATTTCTCTTGGCTGTGAGCTCTCCTGGCACAGCTGTGGAGGTGACTGCAGTTCTGCAGTGCCAGTGCTTGTGCTCTGTGTGGGAAGTGCAAACTGCAGCTCCAACAGCACCCTGGTACTCCTGAGACCTTGCACTCCCATGCTTCTTCATTGCAATCTGAGTGCTGGCACTACTGATATCTCATTTCCCATGCCTCTTAAGGCAAGACTGTGGTGTAGGACAGAAGAACAATGATTTATTACAATTCTTTAAGGGAAAAAAAAAATAATAACAGAGATTATTTTCTCTTTGCTATTATTTACACTTATAGTTGGGAGTAATCATACTTCTTCCTATTCAGTTCTGATTTCGAGATGATGGAAGTCCCACTTAAACTAAGTAAAAATATGATTATATCATTACAAGTTAACATGGATTGGTACTTCTTTATGCTAGGTACAGTATGGACATAGACCAACAGGTAGTTCTTGTTCCAAAATGTAAAGGACAGGTGAAGCAGAGAGAAATGGGGAAAAAACAGAATATCTTGTTAGTGCTGCCTATCAGACATAGAGAAACCCCCTTACCCTTACTTTGTCTTTATTTTAATTATTTATCAGAGGGTTTTGTAAGAGAGACAAAGAATTCAGAGAATGAAAACTGAAATTGTTGGGAAGAGAAGGACATGATCCTGGAAAGGAAATGAAGAGTCTGAGATAGAAGCACTCAGCAGTCTGTAGCGTTCTGGGGCTGCAGGATCATGTCCAGGGAGGCTGCAGTTCCCAGTGACCAACCTGGGACTCAGTGAGAAGGGCCCTGCTCAGGAAACCATTTATTCAGCACAGGGATAAACTCAGCTTTAGATGCAGAGAGCCCCAAACAGAGGCAGGGTGGTGGATCTTATGGCACAGAACCAGGGTGCAGTTTAAGGTCAGGGTCTAACACAGCAAGGGAGAAAGCCCAGGGACCCAAACCCAATCAGAACTCCTGGGCTGCTCCCCACAAAGGTCTGGGGTTGGGGCAACTCTTCCAGGGCTCACAGGGCCCAGCCCCTGAGGCACAGAGATGGAATCAACTCTTCCTGGGCTTTAAAGCCACTCCACTCATTTTAACACTGCTTATCTGAAACTAAATCTTTGCCTCCTGAATGGGGGCACCTCACAGCATCCAGTCAGCACAAGGGAGGATCTCTGCACAAAAACCCCAAAACTTGATTGCTGTTACATCTCAAATCAAGCTGATCCCCTTTCCCAGCCGTGCTTCCTAGCTCAGGAACACAACCCCATCTCAAGTCACACTCACCATGGAAGCTCCCAAAACTTTTAAAAAGGTGTGTGGCCCACTAAATGTTTTAATTGTATTTGATTTAAGTTTAAAAAGACCAGATTTTATCACTTCATGTTGCAAAGATCACATAAATTGTGCAAAGTGGAGTTAAGGGTTTGATTTACAGATTGCACAAACCCTGTTTGAATAACAAAGTTTATCTTTCAAAATAATTTATAGTGCCTTTCCTCACTGAATTTCATCACCTACAAGTTCTTTCATCTGATTGTAAAGTTAAGAATCCTGTAATGCAGAAAATTCCCATTATATGGCTTCATGCAAAGTGAGATTGAATCATTGCTGTGGATGGCAAGAGAGCCCAGCTCTGCTGAAGGAACTTCCCCAGACAAAATCTTCTGTGGTGAATCCTGCCCAGCACAATTCAGCAACTGGAAGAACAAGATCCAAGCACTCTTTGCATGGCTACAGTCAGTTTTTCTCCACAGCTTCAAGAAGCTGGACATTACTCTCCTATTTGACTGGATTTTTCTACTGACAGTTCATACTAATTTGACTTTTCCAACAATCAGCCATTTGACTGGGTAGGCATCACACTTCTACCACTTTGGTTTCAGTATTTTAATGACATTAAATAATTACAGGTTGTGTTAAAAAAAATTTCCTTTTGTTTTCTCCTAGTTAAAAATAGTTAGATCTACAGAAATGCAAAGGATTCTTTGTGTGCTTTTTTCTCTCATGGGAATCTGAGATGTGGCCAAACAAACCCTACAGGATTCAAGCTGTGACATGGGCTGAGATTCCCATTCTGCTTGCTGTGAGGGGCAAAGGTCACTGCCACAACACAGTGTCCAAAGCCACCACTGACCCAGCTCAGGTGTCCAAACTCACAGCTCAGGTGTCCAAACTCACAGCTCAGGTGTCCAAACTCACAACTCAGGTGTCCAAATCTACAACACAGTGCCCAAGCCACCCCACTGACCCAACTCAGATGTCCAAACTCACAGCTCAGGTGTCCAAACTCATAGCTCAGGTGTCCAAAGCCACCACTGACCCAACTCAGGTGTCCAAAGCCACAACTCAGGTGTCCAAAGCCACCATTCCCTGCTGGCCACAGGAATTCTGTGGTGCTGTGGTTTGTGAGCACACATCTGTTTGACCACAGAGCACAGCTGTGCTTATGGAGAGCCATCAGCAGGCTCTAAAAGCCTCAGTGCAAACAGAGAAAATGGCTTGCTGATGTCCCCTTAGTTGGGAAGCAGGTTTTCCATGGCACTGCCTGGTGACACCACGTAGGGACAGGGACCTGAGCCTGGGAAAGGCACTCCTTGTGTCACACTGGGCTGTGACAGCTTTGGCTGCTTCAAAGAATCATTTCCAAACCTGTCCATGCTACAAAAATCAAAGAATAGAGCTTCCCATTATTCCCACTGTTGGCAGCCTAACTCCACCTGTGTGCCCACAAAGGGCAGGGGAAAAGCTTGGTCCATCCACAATATTCAAGTCATGCTCTGCAATAAGTTACAAATCTTTTATTGAAAGGAAATTCACAGAGATGCCTAGGTGGTGTTTCCCTGCTGTGTGCACACAGTGTCTTATTCTTCCAGACTCCCTTTCTTCCCCCCAGGATAGACACATTCATGTTTACATTTAAAAAATCATATAGCAATCCATGGCCAGTCAATACAAAAGCAGCAGAAAGATAAAACCATTGATCTGAGTGCACAGTCCTGATAAAGTCGGTGCCCTCAGTGACTGCAAAGCCTAAGCAAGCCAGAACTCAGGTGGTTTTCCTTTTAATTGTATTGTGTCTTCTCTGCCCTCCTCAGGAGCGCAAAACCTTCTGCTCTGTCAGTCTCTGTGTCCTTTCCCTTCATGGGCTGGAAAGCTCCACTGCAGTGTATTTAAATTTCCTAAAGAAGCCTGCTGAATTAAGAGTATTTAATCAAAACCTTCCTCCTGATTAACCGGACTTTCATGACATTTTACTTTTCATCCCATGAATGTTGACAGACCTCCTTTATCAGGACTTTAATTAACAGCAGGTGAGGAGGCAGAGTGACTGTGACACACTGTTACTTCTGCTTTGTTTCAAGGCTGCTTGGGAGATATTCTCTCAGCTCATGGTTGAAATTGTCTTATCTCATACATTCCCAGGATTACTGTTTCATGTAAATGTCATTTTTGCTGTCCAAAACATTAAAAAAACCCACACCAGTGCGCTCTAACTCCTGTCTCCTTCTGAGAGACATGAGGGAAGCTGAACACTTTTGATCAAAGACAAGATCCCAACTTCAAAGTAACACCTCATCTGTAAATATATTACACTGTGCTCTTAGTACAGGAAGGGGGACTCCTTGATTTTAAATAACCTGAGGCCAATACCGTGGGATTTGCCTGCCTTTGCAGAGTTTAATCCTGCTCTTCTGAATACCGACAGAAAATGAGACAAAAAGATTTTAAAGACCTTGTGCTTCAGTCTCCTCTTATCTATCAAAGTCCAACAGACCCATGTCCAGTATTTCACTGGAAGAACACCCAGCTTATGGTGGACTGAGAGAAGAACATGGAAAAAAACTACAAAATTCAGAAGCATCACAGATTTTTTTATACCTAAGACCTAAATCTTTCTCCTAAAGACTGAATAAAACTACATGCTACGTGCCTGCAGATGCTCTACCACTAATTTGACTGCGATCTTCCAACATTTTTTGACCACAAGACCATTCCCAATATTTTTTGACCACAAGACCATTCATGGCACATGAAAAGAAAGTTTTGGGTGGGCACATAGGGTCAGTTTTACCCTCAGGTAACAACCAACAGTGCCACTGTGCAGGTGTCACTCCTGTCCCTATGCAGTCTACAGGAAACAGCCTAAGCCACTGAAATCAATGACATTTTCTGCACAAACAATTCATTTATCTAGGGATGGTTTCAAAATCATTATCATTACATCTTATAAAATAAATAAAATACAGCCATCTTAAAGAATCAAATTTTAGTCTTCGGGAATCTTAATTTTGAGGTTATTTGAAAATGCCCTGTTGCTCTGCTAAAACTTTCTGTGTCTCTCAAAAGTAGGAAAAACTCCATTTACCTGATGTGAATACACGATGTAAGAGAAATCAGCAAAGTGTTATTTCTAATTAAGGATTAAAACCTCTTGAAGGTTCAAGACTGTGAATGGGCTAAAAGAAGCCTTTGTTTCTGCTATATTTACTCTCAAGGTGTGCTGCTTCTCCTCTCTCTGAATGTGGTTGCTGCAGTAAATGCACAGCAAAAAGGGCTCAGATTTCCTTCTCTGGATCTGGGAAGGATCAATTCCTCCTGAGTTTCTACACAAACATTTTCATTTCTGAGCAAGGTATAATCCTGAGTCAGAAATGTAACTCTGCTCCCTTCCTTCCCACCCAGAAAGGGTATTTTCCCCATGGAGGGAATGATGTCTTTTCAGGACTACCTGAAACAGAGGCCAGACAAAATTAAGAGAATAAAATGTGGTTTACATTTCTTGAAGGGCCTTCAGGTACATTTTGGGCAGATGAAGTCCCCCCAGGGGCTGCACCCAAAAGGGACCACGGGTCCCAGGTTTCACACTTCTCTGGGTTTGGTCCATTTGCACATTGGGGGTTCATCTCCCAGTTCCAGCTGCAGGGAATGAAGTAATTTTCTCAAGTTTGCTGCCCCCAGCTCCCTTTTGTTTCCATCTCTCAGGCCTGGGGCAGTGAGGTGTCCTTGATTGCCAGGCCTGGAGAGGAATTGCTGTGTCTGCCCAAAATGGGGAAGCAGCAGCTGGCACTGGATAAGGAGTTTAGAGTTCTGCACTAAAGAATTGCAGGATTACAAACATGAAAAATATAAAAGCTAGAATCCTAAGG